TTTTTTTTTTTTTTAAGTTTATTTGTTGGGTTTATTTAAACCCAACGTGGGGCTCGAACTCACCACCCTGAGATCAAGGGTCACATGCTCTTCCGACTGAGCCAGCCAGGTGCCCCCCACCTTTTCACTTTTTTGGTAGTATCCTTTGAAGCATAAATGTTTTTAGGTTCGAGAAAGCCCAGTTTATTGATTTTTCCCTTTATCACTTATGCTTAGGGTGTCATATCTGAGAAATCATTTCCTAACCCAAGGTCATGAAGATTTACTCCTGTGTTTTCTTGTAAGAGTTTTATAATCTTAGCACTTATATGTAGGTCGTTGGTGCATTTTGAGTTAATTTCTGTATACAGTGCAAGGTAAGGGTCCAACTTCGTCCTTGACATGTGAATATCCAGTTGTCCCAGAACCATCTGTTCACTTCTTTCCCACCCAATTGTCTTGATACCCTTCTCAAAACTTAACTGACCCTAAGTGGGAGGGTTTATTTCTGAACTCTTTGTTCTGTTCCATCATCCTACATGTCTCTCCTTATGCCAGTCCCACCACATCTTGTTTGCTGTAGCTTTGTAGTAGATGTAAAATCCCCAAAGTGTGGGTCCAACTTTGTTCTTCTTTCTCAAGATGATTTTGGCTGTTCTGGATCCTTTGCATTTCCCTACGAATTTTGGGAGCAGCTTGTCAATTTCTGCGAAAAAGGCAGCAGGGATTTTGATAGGAGTTGTGTCAAATTTCTTCCTATGATGTTTTTGAACAGTGATGTTTTGTATTTTTCCGAGTACAAATTCCATACTTCATTTGTTAAATTTATTCCTAAGTGTTTTATTATTTTTTATGCTCTTGCAAATGAAATTGATTCCTTCATTTCATTTGCAGATATTCATCGCTAATGTATAGAAATACCAATGGTGTTTGTTTATTGATCTGGTATCCTGCAACTTTATTTGTTCTAATAGTTTTTTAGTGGATTCCTTAGGATTTTCTGTATACAAGGTCCATGTCATCTGCAGATAGAGTTTTACTTCTTCCCCTTTTTAATTTGGATGCCTTTTGTTTCTTTTTCTTGCCCAGTTGCCCTGAATTGAGCTTTCAACACAACGTTGAATAGAAATGGCAGGAGTGGACATCCTTTTCTTCTTCCTAATCTTGAATGGGGAGAGCTTCCAGTCTTTCACCATTAAGTATGATAACAGCTGTGGGTTTTTAGTAAATGCTCTTTATCAGATTGAGGAAGCTCCCTTCCATTACTAGTGTGTTGAGCGTGTTTCCGTGAAGGGGTGTTGAATTTTGTCAGATGTGTATTCTGTGCCTGTTCAGACAATTGTATGGTTTTTGTCTCTTTTTTCAGGTGTTAAAACACCCTTGCATTTCTGGGATAAATCTCACTTGTTCAGAGTATGGAATTCTATTTGTATATTGCTGTATTGTTTGCTAGTACTTTGTTGAGTATTTTTGCATATCACAGGTATTATGAATATCTGTATTCGTAAGAGAGACAGGTGTATGTTCTCTTTTCCTCACGATGCCTTTGCCTGGTTTTGGCCATCTTTATCTTTCGGTATGTCAGAGAGTGTTGAACCGGAGAGGCTGCTCAGCTTCTCCCCTCCCGTGCTCACCTGCGTCAGGTGGGGAGGGATGGCCGGAAGCTCTGAGCCCGAGTCCAGAAAGTGCCAGCAGAGCTAACAATGGGATGGACACAGCCTCATGTGTAAAATGGTATAGGAAACTAGCCGACAGCCTGGAGGCATGGGCTGGGCCTTCCTGTTCTGAGCTTTGTGATTGCCAGCAGGGAGAGCACCCAAGGGATCTGCCTCATACTGGACTTTAAGGGAGCAGGAGGGACCGTGGGGACCAACCTGAAGCCCCCAGCTCTAAAGCTCTAAGAGCTCAATTTACAACAGCTAACTGAGCAGCGCACCCTCCCTGTTAGGCTGCTGGCCCAAATTTCATGGAGAAGAGGAGAGAGAAAAGCAACATCCTTGCCTAGAGGCCTGCACGTTCCCGGTCAGGCCCTTGTGGAATGACGAGTGCAGGCCAGCCGATGATAAGGACAGGTCAGACAATGCTCTTGCAGGGCCTGTCCCCTCTTGGTGAGGCCTGGGAAAAACAGCAAGTCCTTTGGGAACGGAACAGGGCACAGGATGGGCAGCAGCTCTGTGGGCCCTTTCCGCACCCGGCTCCAGCAGCAGAGTGGGAGGCTCTAAAAATGGAAGCTGCCGATTTCCCCACCCCAGCCGGGGCCGGGAGACCAGCCGGCACCGTGGCACCAGTGGGACTCTGGCAAATCTTCTGTTTCAGGTGTCTTGCTACCCTGTGTGACCTTGAGGAGGTCACTTCCTTCCCCAGCTCAGAACGTCACCCCGGTACACATGCCGGGCAGGCCGCGGTGTCGGGAGTCCTAGCCCCTGGTCTGTTCCCTCTGCAGACTCACCATTCCCTCCTAGGGTAGCCAACGCTATTTCTGTGCCTGCAGCTCAGTAGAGAGGCCTCAGATCCCTGCGAGAGAGCCCACGAGGCAGGCAAGGAAAGAAGCAGGTGGGCTGCCACCGCTCGTGGCTGACCACTCCCCTTCCCCAGCCCCCGCCGGCCCCTCTGGAATAGCGAGCTGGGCAGGCGGCGCGCGCCTGGGAAGAGCCAGCGTCTGGTAGGTAACCAGCTCAGCTGCTCTGCAGGCTATGATGTCATCTTGGATTCTGTGGTTGCTAGGAAAATTCTGCCTGCAGTGATATTTCATGGTCCTAGGACCGAGGCGAGAACAGAATGTTCCCAAGAAGACAAGGGGAAGGATTTGTAGGACTTCCCAAGCAAAGGAGCCCCCATCCCAAGAAGCAGATAATTGGAGCTTCTTGCTAGATGCTTATTCCCCTTTTCAGGAATGAAAGTTGTGCTGGTAACAGCAGAACCCCCTCAAGGCAGATTGGGGTGCCAGTGGGGGGCTGGTTCCCTTGGCAGGACCTTGGTGCGCTGGTGGCCAGAGTGAAGGCCCATCGCTGTGATGTTGCGTCCTTGTGGGTGAGCCCTCCTCCTGCAGCACCCACAGCTGGGTGCCTCTGCCAGCCCTTGGTGTGTGGTGGGACGGTTAGGAAGGAGGAGGGGGAGCTCCTCTGTGGTGTGGAGGATGCCGGCCAACACCGTGCCTGAAACTCTGCCATGCACCACGCACACTGGCCCCCTCTTCTGTGGCCTTTCCTCTGTCTGCCCTTCCCATCTTCCCCTCCTGGGGAAAATCCCTCCAGTGGTCTGGAAGAGAAGTATGTCCCAAAGGCCCTGGCCGCTGATTCTTGTTCAGGGCGTGGTGAAGAACCATCCGTTAGAAAAGGGGGAGGGGCGCCTGGCTGGCTCAGTCGGTAGAGCGTGCGACTCTTGATCTCAGGGTTGTGAGTTTGAGCCCCACATTGGGGGTAGAGATGACTTAAAAATGAAAATAAAAAATTCTTAAAAAACAAATACTATGGAAAGAAAGAAAGAGAGAAAGAGAAAAAGGGGAGAGAACAGTAGGCCCCAGGGAGGGCCAGGGCCCAGGACGGGGGCGGGACCTGCTGGTCAGCTCGCCTTGCCCTGCAGCCTCTTCCTGCCCGAGCAGCCTTGGGTGGCTGAGCTGCTTTGGGTGGCTGCGACAGGTCAGTATTTTGAGCTCTTTCCCTCCTCCCTCTTGCCTTTTCTGGCTGCATGTCAGAGCCTGTCTTATGGAAAACAAGACAAAGGAAGTGATTTCATGAGCGCCTGGACCAGAATCTCAAATCCATGATTAAAAAAAACGATAATAAAGATTCTGGCCATTATCTATCTCTGTAGGAGGCAGGCCGACTGCATGCTGGAAATGGGCCCCGCTGTGCTCCTTTGAGCAGGTGCTGGATTTGGGCAAAGAGGGATGGCTATTAGAAGTCCTAAAGAGAGGCACCTGGGCGGCTCAGTCGTTAAGCGTCTGCCTTCGGCTCAGGTCATGATCTCAGGGTCCTGGGATCCAAGCCCCGCGTCGGGCTCCCGGCTCGGCGGGAAGCCTGCTTCTCCCTCTCCCACTCCCCCTGCTTGTGTTCCCTCTCTCGCTGCCTCTCTCTGTCAAATAAATAAAATCTTTAAAAAAAAAAAAAAGCCCTAATGAGCAAGAGCCTCCAAAGGGATCAAGACATGAGCCTTGAGAAGAAAGACGGAGATTCCCAGCGCCCCTGGCTTTGGTGACCTTGGAGCAAGGGATGTGAGCAGAGCCCTGCGCCTGGACAGCAGCCCTGGGTTCTTGTCGTGCAGGCCTGCAGTGCCATAGCCTTAAGCAAGCCTCCGAACCTCACCCCTACGGCCCCCCTGCCACCCTACGGCAGGGTTGCTGGCATGTCCCCTGGCCAGGCTGTCAAGAAGGCCTAGAGAGGAGGTGGGCTGCCTTGGAAGCACTGGGTACTGGGGAGGAGCGCCCTAGGCGGACCAACGCTGCAAGGGGCCCCAGCCGCCTTGCGTTGTCCCGTCCAACGGTTCTTTCCCCCTGGTCTGCAGGTGCCGAGGATGTGGTGATGGCGTTTTCCAGGTCGGAGACGGAGGACCGGAGGCAGTAGTGGTGAACCCCTTGGAACACCCTGGAAGCTGGCAAGGGCCAAGAGATCTGTGAGGACCTCGGCCAGCCGAGTGGCAGCAGATCACCTTCCCGATGCCCCCGCCCCTACACCCCCACCCCGCCCCACTCCACCGTCACTCAGCAGGGCTGGCCTCGAGGGAGCCACCGGTGGTGCAGTTACAATTGGCTTAAGGGGACGGACTCATGATTGGCTGCAGCAAGAAACCCTTTTATTTTTAAATCTTGACCAACAGAAACCTTTTATTTTTATTTCTGACTTTTTTTTTTTTTTTTTAATTTGCGCCTCGGTATATGGCTTCCCAGGAAGCTCTCCGAGATCTGGTGCTTTATTTAGGTCACTTTTTAGGAATGTGAAGAGGCCCGATTGGCTGCTTAAACTGGAAGAGGATTTTGATTGGCCGGCTAGTGGGAAACGGGTTTTTTTCTTTGATTGGCTGCAGGTGTTCTGCTGATAGCAACAGCTTCTCTCTTTTGAATGCTGAAAACAGGGTTCGGGACATTGGTTGTTATATTTGACTTGAAAAGAAAAAAAGAAAAGAAAGAAAGAAACCAAGTGCGCTTTGCAATATTTATTACACAAAGAGCTTGCTGCTGCTTTCCCATGTTTTGTTTGTGTTTGCATTTGACTGGTTTTTGATACGTGTGTTTGGGTTCTCATTGGCTCGTCCAGGACTCCCGTTGCCATGGGCTCTCCCCCCACTCTGCCGCGCACAGTCCCTCTCCAGACGGGGACCCACCTGGAGAGTGCATTTGCTTTAATGACCACACCTGGCTTCCCCAGCGGGGGGACCCCCAAGACCTCATGCAGGGTCTACAGCTGGAAAGCGGAGCCCCCAAAGAGGTTTGTGCCGTCCAGAACTCGCAGACCGCAGCTTAGAGGTGACCATTAGGCAGGATTTATGTGCGTCACTTCCATGCGTTGGCAACCAGCCAGCTCCCTGGGGGCGGGGTGGGGGGTTGGGGGGGGTGGAGGATGGAATTGCTGGGCCTCTCCAGCCTGCCCATGCCGAGCACAGGAGCACCGCACTGGGCGGCTCTGTCTTTTCAGCTCTTCCCTCCAGATCTACTTCCTGAGGCCTCATCTGGGGCTCCTCCTGCAAAGGGCAGGAGCTGCTCCTGGCTGTGAGACCCCACAGTGGAGCAGAACTCCCTGCCTAGGAGCCCGGAACCCTCACAACGCTTGGCTCACAAGGCCCGGGAGGCCTTTGGCTCTAAACCCCCAGCCCCGACCTCCGCCAGCCAGGCTCCCAAGGTGCCTGCCGCTGGGCCGTAGGCCCTGGCCAGCACTCGGAGTTCTCGGATCCCAGGCCTGCGCCCCTCACTGCACCGCCTTCAGAAGGGTCTCTCTCCATGTCAGCCTGGAATGGACGGAGTCATTATTTATGAAGTGCCATCTGAGACAGCTGGCTGGGCCTTCGCTGAGCAGGTCCCACCAGGCTGGCCCTCAACTCAGGTCCCTGGAAACACATTGCCGAGCAGCCGTATGTGGAGGGCTGAAAGAACCCCGGGTCTCTCCCACCTGTCCTCCCCCTTCCCTTGGGGGTAGTCCTCCCCCTGCCCTTCTCCCTGTGTCTCTCACCAGAGTGGAACCCGGGGGGTGGGGAGGTGGAGAAAGATGTAGGCCTCAGGGATGGGGAGCCTCCACGCTCCTCCTGAGATAGTAAATGGCTGAGGCCCTCTTTTTGCCCCAGGTATCCAGAGCCAGGGGAAGACTCTTGGAGCCGAATTTCCCCCTTCTCAGGGCTGGGGCTTCATGGATCACAGGAGCTGCCCTGGGACCATGTGGGCGGTTCATGCTGTGCTCTGAGCATCGTCTGGGCCTTTGCCCCAGAAGGACTTGTGTATCACAGCGTAGATGGCCCTGACCTCCTCCACACACGGGCCCCTGGCCCTGCTTAGCTGACCTGGTTAGGTTACCCTGCAAAGACTGTTGATCCCCCAGGAACGAGGACCGTGGGGCTCCAGCAGGGGCCTGAGAGCATCTTCTTCCCGGAGAGGTGGTGCGTGTGTGCACTCACACACACGCTCCCAGTCCCGAGTCCTGCAGCTCCAGTTGAGCCCCTGGGGAAAAATGAGCTTTTTCCCAGCCCCCTCCCCCCAGGTTATGACATCTGTCACCAGGTGCCAATGCCGTGTTGCCATTTGCCCTCTCTTTGTACCTGTAGCTCCCACAAAGGGTCCATGTCCTGGCCAATGGTGTGTTCTCTGCCCCAGCCTGCCCTTGTCAAGGTCACGGGTGTCCCTGTTGTAACAGCAATGACCCCGATCTGTCTTGTCGTCTGAACGGGAGAGGTGAAGGTGTTGCTGTGGCTCCATATTTCGACTAAAAATATATCTGTTGGAGAAAAAAAATTAACAATAAAGATTTTTAATAGCTTGGTGCGTGAGCTGAGTTATCTCCCTCAGAGTTGGGTGCACTCACTGATTCCCCGTGTCTCATGGGCTCTGCTGCGGGGCCCTCTCTCCTCAAGGAGGCACCACAAGGAGGGTCAAAAACACCACATTTGCTGGTTTAATTGTCTGCGACCTGGAGTGGAGCTTGGGCTTTGGAAGGATTCCGAGATTTACCTCGTGCAGCTGACAGGTCCATAGAAGGCTGAGCCCCCTTTTTGACCTGGAGGTTCTAAATATCATCCTAGATGGGACTGAGGTCAGTAGTCTTCAGAGGTGACCTCACCCCTCCATGCTCCTGAGCGGACACGAGCACCCTGAGAGATGCTTCCTTCCACCCAGACACCCGGCATCCCGTGTGATGGCCGTGGTCTTGGGCTGCTCGTAACAAAAGTCCAAATAAAATATCCGGTCCTTCCATCATCCCAGAAGTGGGAGATTTATTGGTGTTCAGCTGTATATTCAAGTTTAGAAGCTGAAATCATTTCTCCTTTAGGAATTTTTGCTTTGGAAGCATTTTCTAGAATCTTTCATTTCTACCCTTCATCATCCCATTTTAGGTCTTTTTTTTTTTTTTTTTTTTTGCTGCTTACATGGACTCACTGCTTCTATTTCCTTTTCAAAGAGTTTCACTGGGTGCTAAACACTGTGGGGTTCATAGAATACGAGGACGGATGGCACAATCGACGTCATTCACTCTTAGTGTTGGGAGAGATGTTGGAGGTTGCCTAGCAGCCCACGCAGTGGCCAGATGTGTGCGTCACCTCTGAAATAGCTCTAAAAAAGACTTTGCTTGAATCCGCTCTAGGATGGGGCACTCACTACCTCACAAAACAGCCCATTTGACCTTCAGGTAACTTACATTCATCTTTACATTGAGTTGGCCTGCCTTTCTCTGTAACTTCCCTTTCCAGGAAGGACTTTATGGTTCTTAAGAAACAAAAAAAGATAGTTATGTCAGCCAAACATCACAGAGACGCATCAAGGGCTCACATTAGGTAAATTATTTGTGTTCTGAGTTGCACTGTCGGGGAGTTAACCTCGCAGCCAATCTGCTCTTCTGAGCCGAGCCGCGGAGCAGAGGGAGGGGCTGGCTGGCTCTGGTGCCCACTGCCCAGCTCCCAGCAGCGAGCCTGGAACTGGAGCCCGGAGGGAGGGAGGCAGGCATCCTGCGGTGGGGGGCGGGGAGGGTTGTCTAACTAAGGGGAATTAGGCCACCAAGAAAGAGGACTTGGGACACCTCAGCAGGCCAAGGAAAAATACTGGGGGCAGCACTGAGTCTTTGAGGGTCCCTCAGCCCGCACAGCAGGCAACCTTCCGGGTTCATCTTCCTAGGTACAGGTGCATGCAGCCAGGATTGACAACAACAGGTGGCCCTGGGACTGCTGAGGCCTGAGGCCAGCTGGGGGCCAGGCTGAGTCTGGGGGAGGTCAGGGACGGGCTGAGAAGGGGGGCAGGGCACCCTGCCTTTTGTTGGTGTTTCCCAGCCCTGGGGGAGGGTGGTTGAGAATGAAGGGCTGCTTTGCCGGTCCCTGCAGGTGCCTAGCAGCTGGGAGAATCCAGGCTGCTCCACCCTTTGAACGGGACCCTTTGTAGCAGGGAAACCAATCCCTCCATGGCACCTGGTTCGGTGGTGGGGGCAGGAACGAGCTTCCAGGGCCTGGAGCTCGGGGTGGGGGGGCCCGGGGACCCCACCACTACCCACCTGCCCCGCCTGCCCGGGGCACTCTCTCAATTTGCCTGTTGCCCATGGCACCCACCCCTTTCCCAGAAGATGAAATAGTCCCAGACTGACCTGAGGCCATGTTTAGAAAACGCTTCTCTGTCCAATGAAGGAACTGACATTTCTTGAGCAGTAACTGGGCATTTAGGAGATTTGAGGGGGAGGGGGCTTGGGGGTGACCATGGCTGCTAGTCCTAATTTAAGGAAAGGCCTCCTCAAAGAATAAGGGCGGTGAAATGCTTGTTGAATATCAGCCAGTGCTTTGCCTTCACTTTCCTCCTCGACCTTGGAACTGCTCCCTCACGGATGGTTTCCCAGAGGGACCTGCCAGTCCTGCTGGGCAAGCAGGGCAGGGGAGCCGCTGACAGGAGCCGAGCCACACCCTGCCCGGGGCCTCTTCCTGAGTCCCCAGGGAAGGAGCAGAGTGTGCAACAGGTGGCCTCCCTGTTTGCACACCTGTGGGGGCCCCGCCCCACATACACAGCCCCGGGAGGTGACTTCAGACCTAAGGCCTCTGAGAGTTTCCACCTCCTTGGCCTTTGGCCTTGGCCCTTGAAGGAGGTGGGTTTTCACAAACATCTTTTATGCAGGTAACTACCTTGTCCCCGTCTTTTTTTTTTTAAGATTTTATTTATTTATTCATAAGAGACAGAGAGAGAGAGAGAGAGAGAGAGGCGGAGGGAGAAGCAGGCTCCCCGCTGAGCAGGGAGCCCGATGCGGGACTCGATCCCAGGACCCTGGGATCATGACCTGAGCCGAAGGCAGATGCTTAACCCTCTGAGCCACCCAGGCGCCCCCTTGTCCCCGTCTTAATAGCACCAGGGATGTGTGTTGGGTGCAGGCGCATGCGCTGTGTATACACCATCTTCAGTCGTGGGTGAGGTACGTATGGTATTATCCCCATTTTACAGATGAGGGAGTGGGGCGTTACATAGTTTGCTAACGATCATCGTGCTACAGTCAGAACTTGGACCCAGGTTGTCAGAGCCCAGACTCCATGCTTGTAGCCACTACTTTGATGGGGGTGGGGGTGGGGGAGAGTAAGCCCTAAATCCCCTGGTTGCCCAGTGCCCTCTCTGTGACCCCAGGACCAAACTGGGGTTTGCCCTTGTTCTCTAAGTCCCGCTGTGTCCAGCTATCGTAGGTTGTTAAATATTTGTGGGGTGCTGGCTCCTCAGGCCAGCCCTTACCTCTGGGGTGAAGCCTCTGCCTTTCCAGCCTGGGTGTGAAGCTGGCCCCCCACCACCTCATGGTGCCCCAGCAGCTGCCGGGAGCCGGCCATCGAAACTCCTGCTCTTCACCTTAAACCCACTCTGATGCCTCACGTGGGGACCCAGCAGTTCTCCAGGCTAAGCTGGTTTTTCTAGAATAGTTTCCTCTTCCATTCTCCCTGCCTCTTCCTGTTCACAGCCCTGGCCAGAACTGACAGTCCAGCCTCAAAGCACACCTGTCCCCACATGAGTCAGTGAAAGAGCTCAGAATTGGGGGGCTGCAGGCTAGGCTAGGAGCCCGGCCTCCCTGCTGTGACCTCTGTACTCTTGGGTAGGCCTTGGCCTTAATTTTCTCATCTGTACAATGGGAATAATAATAAAGTCCATTGTACCTTTGACAGATTCTACACAAGAAAGTGCTTTGAATCCAATAAAGCCCTAGATAAACACAGTTGTCTCTTGACCTGGTTTATACTGTTTAGTCCCACAGTATAAATCTTTATGTCCACGCAGGTGAGGGCTGGGGAGACAGTGAGACCTCTGGAGGCCGGCTGGTGGGACTGAGAACTGGCCCTGCCCCTAGGCAGCTGCGTGACTTGGGGCAAATTATCCAACTTACTGGAAAAAGGGGAACGAGAGCATCTATCCCATAAGGCTGTTGCTGAGAATTATGATATAATGCAAATGACCAGTTTAGCAGAGACCTGCCCACAGTGGGTGGTCGGCACATATGGGCGTCATTAAGTCACGTGATGGTGTCTCTCCCTCCCCTTCCCCCAACCTCTCTACTTTGAAGTCATTCAGAGCAAGGCCTGTGTGCAGCTCCTGGAGGGGAGGAATGTGGCCGCAGGTCCAGTCAGGTAGTTGTTAAATGCTGCCTTTTTTTTTTTTTTTTTAAGATTGATTTATTTATGTGAGAGAGAGAGAGAGTGTTCGAGGGCGAGCAGGGGAAAGGGCTGAGGGAGAAGGAGAGAGAGGATCCCAAGCAGGCTCCCCGCTGAGCACAGGGCCCGATCCCACGACCCTGAGATCATGACCTGAGCTGAAATCAAGAGTTCGACGATTAACCGACCGAGTCACCCAGGCGGCACCGTTAAACACTTTTTTGATGAGTAAGAGAGAGCTGAGATGATCCCTTGATAGCGGCTGAGGGAAGAGCTCCCTTCTGCTCCCCTACCCACCCCAGACCTCTCCGTCTGCTAAGCAGCTTTGTGAGGGGGAAGGGCGTTAATTGGAGCAGTCCGTCAGCCTTCGCGCGAACCTGCGGGGCTGAGGGGGTCCCCCAGATGGACCTTGTCTTATCTGGACAGGCAAGGAGGGGCCTTGCCGAGCCTGGGGGCAGGAGTCCTGTCTTCCAGGGACCCTCCTGCTCACTAGCTCGTGCTTAAACTCCAAATAGAATCAGAGCCAGCCAGAGAAGGGGATAAAATTAAATCCTTGATCATGATCAAGTGGTTAAAAAAAAACTCATCACAGCCAGCGGCTCCTTCCCACGGCAGCCGGCTCTGCTTCCGAGCAGACAGGCGGAGGAGGACAGGGGGGCCGCTGAGCCCTGAGCCCTGAGCCCCCAGCAGCCCGCCCTGGCTGCCCTCCTTCGGGCCCTCCCAGGTCACAGATCTCAGCCCCCAGGGCCTAACGTTACCCTTCCCACATTGAACCCCAAGGAGTGGGATGAAGCCCCTCTAGGCCTCAGGCGGTGGCTGCTGTCAGGGGAGGCCCTCCTGGGCTCTGGGCTCAGCTGCACACACCTGGGATCCGATTCAGCCTCTGACAGTTACAGGCTTTTTTTTTTTTTTTTGCGACAAGGTCCATCTGGGGGACCCCCTCGAGGGACTGTCCCAATGAATGCCCTTCCCCCTCACAAACCTCAAGGTTTCTCTCCCGCGTGGAGCCCGACTCCAGGCTCCCCCTCACGACCTTGAGATCAAGACCCGAGCTGAGACCGAGAGTCGGACGCTTATCTGCCGGAGCCACCCAGGCGCCCCTAGTTGCAAGCTGTTGGATGGGGACGCATCACTGAACATTGTCAAGCCTGCTTCCCAATCTGGAACATGG